TCTATTAACCAAAAAGAATCAAGGATGGTTCCTCAAGTCTCAACGAAGTTGCATATGACAAAAAAAATTACAATAGAATAGAGGTTCACTTACATCATCAGCAATTTGCAGCAGCCCATTCGGATCCTGCATATAGATCAAGCTGCAATTTATCACTCTGTTTTTTCTACATTTAGTTCCTAAATGTTCCATATTTCCTTTCAATGAAAAGTAACACCATAAAACTCCATTCTGCTACAGCTTGGCATAACTTTCACAATAAAAACAAAAGTAACAAGCTTACCTTAGCAGCAACAAAGAGAAGTGGATCTGAAGGCGTGTAGACCATATAGTGTGATCCATCCTGAATCAGAATTTATATTTAGACAACGGAAAAGGGGGAAATCATACCTCTGAATTTTCACGTTCTACAGAATTCAAACCCATACATTTCCCTATTACTCAGCACTAAATTGTAACATCTCCATAAATGTTCAGAATACTTAAATGGCACCTCAAACATATCAATAAGCAGAATGCTGAAATCAATCGTATACCAGATGGAAACACGTAATCTCAACCCCTTCAGTTGGCAAGCCTTCAACATCTTGGCCATCATCTGCAAATTGTTGATATTTGACACATTTAATGATATGCGAAAAGTAGGACACAGAACTGTAGGCTAAAAGTATATGAGCAGACCCGTCAAAACACCTCACAGTTAGATCAAGAAAACTAAAAAACAAGAGAGGAAGAATGCAGATAACCACATACATGTTACAAAAGATGCAAGTTCACATGATCATGATATTGATACCCTTTTTTGTTTTTTGTGTTTTCAGAGGTTTTCTTCTTAACGTTCGTCGTAATCTCATAACACTTARCTGAAGTTTCAATACAATATAAAAGCATCATATCCTATACCCAAAGTAAAAATGAAGCTAAACTCATTTAGTGTGCTCATATAGAGCAGATGAACTGTTGTCGTGAGTAAAAATTAGAAGAACAAGCTTCTTGCCAAATTAGAAGAACAAGCTTCTTGCCTGTGCGAAAATCGAAGACATTATCTTCCGTGTAGCAAAAGCCTCCCCTTGCAGTGTAACAGAATCTGATTTACAGTGATAATAAGCCATTACAAGATGTCAGACACAAAGAAACATAGGATATTCAAAAAATGTTCAGCTAAAATTATTCTTGAAACAGGGCATGGTCATACCCGCTGTGTACTAGATGCATATGGATCTTTGCAAGAGCATAAGCAGCAGCAGGAAGAAGAGATTCAACCTCTTCATCACTGACCTAAAAGTTAGAAGCATCCTAGATAAGCAAAACAAAAGGTCTCTCTCTCTTCTGAAGCAACAAATGGAACTTGTGCTGCAAATGGAAATGAGAAAAAGATTCATAAAGGACAAAACTTACAGCTGACCATCCATCAATATTTGTGCTCTTCAAAATCTGAACTGGCCTGAAGCAAGCAAGAAACGAATCAATCAAACAAAAAAGAAAGAAATTGCTTAAAATGGTAACAGAAGAAAAGAGAAAACACAGTTACTCACGTATCCACAGGGCAAAGAAGCATACAATCTTCTCCTTTGCTACTTGTAAAGACTCTTCTTATTACACAATCCAAAGGACTATTGTTTGTTGGATCAACCTGCCTCACTCACAACAAAAACCTTTTAAGCTTCTCTTATTATGTCCATAACACCAAAAGTGAAGCTAAAGGAAACAAAAATCGACTCACCACAGTGGCGATTCGCTTCTTAGAGGCCATAAGAACCCTACCAGTTTCATCTATGACAAACCCAGCAGGTGGTTTGGGTATTGTAGGAGGAGAGTTAAACGTTGCTAGCGAATCGGA